CAGCATCGAAGCAATAAACATTCCTAATGGCTACTCTCATTTCGTGGAACTGCCGGGGCTTCTATCAGGGTATTGATGGCATTAAGCAACTTATTAATAAATATCGACCTATTTGTATAGCGATACAAGAGACATTCCTCAAACCTGGTAATTTTGCAAAGCTACGTAGATACTCGATGATAAGAAAGGATAAGACATTCAGTGAACGCGCAAGTGGTGGTGTCTGTCTACTTACCTCAATTAATTGCCCTTCGAGTGCTCTCCCTTTGGATACTCCTCTCCAAGCAGTTGCAGTACAGTTGAGCATTCGAACACTGACTACTGTTTGCAGTATTTACATCCCGCCTAATGAGAACATTAATTTAAGAGATTTAGAGGATCTAATTTGCCCAACTACCAGCTCCGTTTATTCTAGTCGGTGATTTCAATGGACACAATCCCTTGTGGGGTAGTAAAGACACAAACCCACGAGGGAAGCAAATTGAAAACAGCTACTCCACGACCACTGTCTCTGTATCCTTAACAACGCAGAAAGCACTTATTTTCATCAGCCAACAAGGACCTTCCATTCCATTGACCTTGTTGTTTCTCCACAGCTTTTGCCCTTTTGTTTCTTTAATGTCGAGAATTATCTATATAATAGCGATCATTTTCCTATTATCATAAGCATTACAGGAAATAGGAGTGTGTTTATACCTAGAACACCACGCTTTTTGTTGGACAAAGCCGACTGGGACTCTTTCATACATTATGCTCTTTTTACTGAAGAAATAGTAAAGAATGTGCACATTGATCAGGCTGTGAAGATCATTACAGATAAAATTATTCAAGCAGCTGATATATGTATACCAAAAACGTCGGTAAAACAGCCAAAATACCCAAAGCCCTGGTGGAATCCTGAATGCCAGGATGCCATCAGAAAACAAAGGAAAGCTTGGAGCATTTTTCGGCGATATCCTTCAGAATCAAATCTCATAATATTCAAAAGGGCTAAAGCAAAAGCTCGGCAGGTGCGAAGGAAAAGTCAGAAGAATTCTTGGATCTCGTATGTGTCTTCGATTAGCTCTTCAACTTCGAGTAAGAAGGTCTGGGAGAGAGTCCGGAAAGCGTCCGGTATCTACAAAGAGCACACACTTTCCATTTTAAAGACAAGTGGTGAAACAGTTACTAGTAGGGAAGAAATTGCCAACGCTATTGGACAGAGTTTCTCAGCCGTCTCACACAGTAGTAACTACCCTCTTGAATTTCTTTCCGCAAAAAAATGCATTGAAAAACAACTAATTAATTTCAACTCTCCCAATACTGAACCATATAATCAGGATTTTACTGTGCTTGAACTGAAAAGAGCTCTGTTGCAGACAAAAAATTCATGTCCTGGTCCAGATGATATTGCCTATCCTATGCTGAAACATCTTCCTTCCAAGTCATTGGCAGCCATCCTCTTTCTCTTTAATAGAGTATGGAAGGAACAAGTCTTTCCAAATGCCTGGAAAATAGCTTTTGTCATCCCCATTGTTAAACCGGGAAAAGACCCTACTAATCCGTCAAATTACCGTCCCATCGCCCTAACTAGCTGCCTCTGCAAACTCTTTGAAAAGATGGTCAACACTCGTCTGGTCTATTATTTAGAGACAAATAATTGTATCTCCCCTTATCAGAACGGTTTTAGAAAAGGAAGAGCAACTATCGATAATATCCTACTCTTAGAAACAGGTATCCGTAGAGCGTTCGTTAGAAGAAATCATTATGTTTCCATGTTTCCATTTTCTTTGATATATAGAGAAGCCTATGATACCACCTGGAGATACGGTATCCTTCGTGACCTATATAACAATGGTTTACGAGGAAACATGCCGATATTCATCAAACATTTCCTACAGGATCGGAAGTTTCATGTGAAGATAGGCGATACACTTTCTGACATGTTCCATCAAGAAGAGGGCGTTCCGCAAGGAAGTGTATTAAGTGTTACATTATTTAGTATAAAAATTAACTCTATTTTAAAACAACTGCCTCCAGCAGTCCAGGGTATGCTCTACGTCGATGACCTGCAAGTCAGTTGCCAGGGAGAAGACCTGAAAGACATTGAGTGTAAACTGCAGACATCTCTCAATAGAATTGTTAAATGGTCACAGGAAAATGGTTTTAGATTCTCTACTCAAAAGACTGTGTGTGTACATTTCTGTTCTGTCGAAAGAAAATTCTTCACCCTGACCCCGAACTTTATCTGCAAGATGTGCTGATTCCTGTAGAAAAGGAAATAAAATTCCTAGGAATGATATTTGACCATAAGCTTACGTTCCTTCCCCATATTACCTATCTAAAAAAGAAATGTTTAAAAACTATGAATATTCTGAAAGTACTGTCAAATACTTCTTGGGGTGCTGATCGAAGGCTCAATGCTTCTTATATATAGAGCTCTCATTCGTTCGAAACTAGATTATGGATCAATCATTTATGGGTCGGCAAGGCCTTCAGTATTAGCCAAACTTGATCCGATACATCACCAAGCACTTCGGATATGCACTGGTGCCTTTAGAACTTCTCCAGTGGAAAGCTTATATGTGGAAAGTAACGAGACCTCCCTGCGGTTAAGACGTGAAAATCTTTGTTTTAAGCATTATTTCAAAGTCTTATCACAAACCGAAAATTCTACGCGGTCAAAATTGCTTAATGACCAATACTCCCGTTTATATCAGGCACGACCATCATGTGTCCCATCTTTCGGCTTTCGGATGAGTGCTTTTGGTGGAGGAGTATAATTTGTCTAATATAGATATACAGGTGGAGGATTTTTTTGGAATTCCTCCCTGGGAGGATTGGAGAATCCATTCTCTGGATACTTTTCGACACTGGAGTAAATCACAAACTAACGAAATCATCTACAAGCAGATTTTTTTAAACATAGAAACAAATATAGGAAATATATCCCTCTATATACAGACGGATCAAAATCCCAGGATCATGTTGGCGCCGCTTTCGTCACAGAGAAAACAATAGTAGGGGTTCGATTACATACAGTTTGCTCTGTGCTTACTTCTGAGCTTACTGCAATCCATCTGGCTTTGACTTACCTTTCAAAACAAAAGTACATAAAATTTATTATCTACACAGATTCCATGAGTGCCTTAATGTCATTGGAAAATCACGCTCAATGTACTCATCCAGTTGCAATCAGAATCCTGAAGTTGAATCATTCTTTAAAAATTCGGGGATACCAGATTCTTTATTCGTGGATCCCTGGACACGTTGCCATTAAGGGGAATGAATTGGCGGATATTGCAGCTAAAACTGCAACCACAATGTACAATCTTCAGATTCCACTAGCAGACATCAAAGGGTTTGTCAAAAGCAAAATTCTCAGCAAATGGCAGAAGCAATGGGATGACAAAGTATATAACAAGCTGAGAAATGTAAAACCCACCATTGGATACTGGCCATGTATGGCTAATAGAAGGGGAGATGTCCTCTTGACTCGACTGAGAATTGGCCATTGTCGCCTGACCCATGAGTATCTTCTGAAGGGAGAAGAGAATCCCAGCTGCCCAAACTGCAAATGCAGATCTGACAGTCCATCACATCTTGGTGGAATGCCAGAGTTTTAATTATTTTCGCCAAAAACATTTTAATTGTTCAGAACTGGACTTAGGAAATTTAATTGGAAAACACATCATCGTAATTTGTTTCTGTTTTAAAAGATATTGGCTTTTATAATAGACTTTAACCTGTTTTTTAAAAGATATCACTTCGCATAACGAATTAAATTTGTTAACTTTTTTTTTTTTTTTTCATTATAGCATTAAAGGTTTTTTCTTCAGTGATGGATTATTAGTAGTTCTTCCTCGCTTGCAAGCTAGCGTGATTCTACATGATATGTTTTTGTAGAATGTTTCTTTCTTTTTTGTAAATTTAAAAAAAATAATGTGATTAATTGAATAAGTAGCTTATTTGTGAATATTCAGAACGCAAAGTTAAATTGTGAATATTTAACTTTGTTTTTTCTCATGTATGGAGTGCTGCAACAAACTCTGTACTTTTCTCTCAAGTAAGGAACGATTTGTTGTAGTTAGTTCTTCCTCGTGCTTGTGCCGTATCGCTAGCGTGCATATCGCGGCATGATATGTTTTTTGTAGAATGTTCTTTTCTTTCGCCATGTAAAATTTAAAAAAATTAATGTGATTGATTGAATAAGTAGCTTATTTGTGAATATTCAGAACGCAACCTGCCGTAAGCTTTTATCATAGATTGTAATCCGTCTCTTTTTACCTAAACTGGAAGTTTTTACAAATGACTAATTGCATTGTTACCATTTGTCTGGCGCAGATAACCTTGATAGGTTTTGTGCCAAATTACAATAATCCAATCCAATCCTATATAAACACCCAAATTTTTAATCTTAAACTCATTGTATATTTTTTCTGTTCACTTATATTCTCCGTTGGAGCATTTACTTCCATTTAATACATTATTCTTTTTATCTTGAGCTCTTAATTTTGTTTCTTTATTTCATTAGAATCCATAAAGTAATAACAATAAATAATTTTTGTTAATATTTCGCCAAAATAAAATCTTGAACTTTCTCGAAACATTTCCAGTCTAAGATTTTGCGATAAGTTATCAATGCTGGATGACAAATTTAAATGAATGTATGAACCCGAGTTTCATTCTTCTTCCGATTTTTTTTTTTTATATATATATTGTTACGAAATGTCCTGCTGCGGTGAGATAGCTTCTCGGCAAAGCGAGTGTTAGATGTATATTTAATATTTGAATTTCTTTTTTCTTTTTTGCATTATTTTTTCTCACTGTTTAATTTTTACAATAATCTTGTTATTGGCAACCTGCTTTATCTTACTATTGAGTTTGTGTGAATGGAAACAGTTGTTCATGTTTATGTTTCAGTAGAATAGCTTTCTTAGCCGCACTAAGCTGCACGCAATTTTTCTCTTAAATATTTCATGTTTAGAATATCAATAAAGTTTATTATACAAACCTGATGATCCTTTTTTATTATATCCTTTCTAATAATTTGAAACATTTCAATTATAAACATTTGTTCTGTTTTGCAAGCATAATGAACAACGCTTTGTTTTTCTGTTGAAAACATTGCAAATGCCATAAAATGGTATTGAAATGATATAAAGTTAAGATCATCGTCTGATAGTATGATGGTCAGTGCAAGTTGTTGACGCATTGAAAGGCAGAGCATCAGAGTTGTCCTGGATAAGCCGTAGATGTTTGTGACCATAGTGTGGATCATCAGGGGTGGTCAACCTTTTTGGAAAGAGTGCCACTATCTGGAAAAAAAAAAAAAAAAAATGTTATGTGTGCCATTTCCAACATACAGGTAATCCTCGTTAACACGGTAGATACGTAGGTTCCTAGAAAATGCCGTGTTGTGTGAAACCTTGTTGTATGAAACCCAGAGGCAGTATTAAAAAGGGGGGTTACGTTCCGGAAACTTATTAAAAACAAACTTTTTTTAATTATACATGAGAAACTTAATTTTTATTAAAAATATATATGTATGTACATCACAAAACAAAAAAATATTACATATTTTAATTTAACGCAACTTTAGTTTAATAAATTTCTTCGTTCGTGCTCCTATAATCACAGAAACGTTTTTTTTTTTCGTGAATGAATCGCTTTCACTTCAATTTCTTCTTCTTTAAAGCTCTGGCATTTTTCTTCCCTCTCAAAAATTTTTAATTTTTAACTTTGCTGACTAGTTTTTTTTTTTTTTTTTTTTTTTTTTTTTTTTTTTTTTTTTTTTTTTTTTTTTTTTTTTTTTTTTTTTTTTTTTTTTTTTTTTTTTTTTTTTTTTTTTTTTTTTTTTTTTTTTTTTGTTTTTTTTTTTTTTTTTTTTTTTTTTTTTTCTTTTTTTTTTTTTTTTTTTTTTTTTTTTTTTTTTTTTTTTTTTTTTTTTTTTTTTTTTTTTTTTTTTTTTTTTTTTTTTTTTTTTTTTTTTTTTTTTTTTTTTTTTTTTTTTTTTCTTTTTTTTTTTTTTTTTTTTTTTTTTTTTTTTTTTTTTTTTTTTTTTTTTTTTTTTTTTTTTTTTTTTTTTTTTTTTTTTTTTTTTTTTTTTTTTTGTTTTTTTTTTTTTTTTTTTTTTTTCTTTTTTTTCTTTTTCGGTTTTCATGGAGAGGGGGCGGGCATGGAGTTGTGGGGTTTTTCTTTCCTCAAATGCACCTTCTCTCTCCCCGCCTCCGGCGAAGTGGTGGGTTTCCCTATTCCCCCTTCCCCGTCCTTTGTTCCCCTTGATTCGAAGCATCTTCTTTCTCCCTTTTTTGTCATTTTTCCTCCTCTTCCCTCCTCCGTCCGCTTCGGGGGTTTCTCCATTTCCTCCCCCCTTCTTTCTCCTCACCCCTGTATTCTTCTCTCCCGCCCCCCCAGGGTCCCCTTTTTGGGTCACGTTGGTCTCCCTTTTCCTTTCTCGCTTTCTCCGCCACATTTGTCCTTTTATTCCTTTCCGTTTTCCCTTCCTCCTCTAGGGGTTCCCCCCGCTACCCTGTTTTTCCCCGCTCCCTCCGCCCTTCCCCATTTCTTCTTTCCTCTCTTTCCTTCTTTTTGCGTTTCCGCCGAAAGAGATCGTCCCCCGCGCGTTCCCCATTTCAGTGTTCGTCCTTTCTTCCTAAATATTCTCCCTTCACTTCCTACCATAGGAAAGAGTGAGTTCCTTTCCTTCTACTTTCCCTCCCTTTCACTCCTCCCCCTTCTCTCTCCCTTCCCGTTTCCCTTTCCCCTTTCGGGAGGTCATTCTCGCTTTTCCCGGCCTTCCCTTCCACTCGCATTTTCCCTGCCTCTTTTTTGTTCTCTGGGGATATGACGGTCAAATTATCCTTGCGGCGTGGTTTTTTCTTTAGCCCTTTTTGCTGATACTTCTAGCACGTTTTTTCGCTTGTTCGGGTTCTCCTGGAAATTCCCTCTATCCCCGCCCCCCCCCCCCTTCCCCTCTTCTCGTTTCCCCCCCCCCCCATCTTTTTTGGCTTTCCCTGTTCCGCTTTCCCCCTGGCAACCCCCGCCCTCTTTCTCCTTCCCCTCCCCCCTCTCCTTTGTCCCCTCCCGCCTTCCCGCTTCTTTCCTGTTCAATCTTTTTTGTCTTCCCCGGTCCTGTCATTTTTTTCGACTGTTTTTTTTTTTTTTTTCCCCTTCCTTCTGCGCGGGAAATGTCGAGAGGTGTCCCCTTCCGCGTTCCCCTTCGCCCGCCTTCCTCTTTTCCTCCCCCTACGTTTTCTTTTCTCTCCCCCTCCCACCGGCTTTCTTTCCGAGAAGATGAGGCAGTTCCCTTTTCTTTTTTTTTTTTCCTTTTTTTTTTTATTTCCCCTGTTTTTTCCTTACCTCCCCCCCCCTCATCTCCTCTTTCTTCCTTCTCTCCGCCTCCCTTTTCCCTTCCTTTTCCCTTCCCCTCTCTTTTTTCTTTTTTCCCTTCCCTCCCGAACCCGTTTCCCTCTATTTCCCCTCTATTTTCCCCCCAGAGCCAGCCCCCCCCTTTCCAAGGATGGGCTTCCCAACCAAGGCCTCCCCCTCCTCCCCTCCGCGGCCAGTGGAGTTTTTCCCTTTTTTCCTTTCTCTTTCCCCCTCTTCTCCTTTCCCTTTTCTTCGACACACATCTCACCCCTTCCCTCCCTCCCCCTTTTTCCATTTCCTTTGCACGTTCTCCTTTCCTACCCCCTTTCCCCCATTCCAGCTTCCCCTTCCCCCTCCTCCTTCGCTACCCCCCCTTCCCTCTCTTTTCTTCCCTCCATTCCCTGTCTCCTTCCTTTTTCTTTCTCCGCTTCCCTTTTTATTCCTTCTATTTTTTTCTCTGTTTTTCTCTCTGTTTCCCTCTTTCTTTTTTCACATAAATTCCCTCCGTCCCCTTGCTCTTCTTCTCTCTTCTTCCTTCCAAAAGTCCCTTGTCACCGTTCTTCTTTCCTTTTCCTCCCTGTTCTTTCCCTTCACTTTCCTTTCCTCTCCCCCCCACCCAACTGAAGTTTCCCGGTTTCTGTCCGCATGGAGGGTCTTCTCGTCCCGTCTCCCCCCTTCTTCTCTGCCCCACTCTCCCCCCCCCTTTCCCCTACCCTCTCTTCCCTTTCGTCCTTCTCATTTCCCTTTTGCTGGCAATTTCCTGTTTCCTTCCGCGCCGCGGGGGTCCCCTCTTTCTTTCCTCCCTTCCCCGCCTCCCTCTTTCGCTTTTTCTTCCCGACGGGGCTTTCTTCTTTCCCTCGGTAGGGGGGCTTCTTGTCCCTCCCTCCTTCTCCCTCTTCTCGGTCGTTTCTTCTCCCCTTTTTCCTTCCCTCTCCTTCCCGCCCTAGGCATTCTTCTCTCTTTCCTTCCCTCCCTTCCGTGTCCCTCTTTCTCTCCTCGCGCATTCCCTCTCCGTTCGGGTGTCTCGTCCCCCGCCGGGGTTCCTTTCTCGTGCCCCCCTCATCTTCCGGCGTATTCTTTCTTACGTGTTCTCTTTCCTTTTTCTCCGGATACTTTCTTTCGTTGTCCCACTCTTGCTTTTCCTTAATTCCCCCCCTGTTGCGTCCCGGGTTCCCCTTCCCTTTCTTCCCGTCCCCCCCTCTTTTCTTTCCCCCTTTTTTCTTTTCCCCTCCTCCTCTTTTATTTCCCCCCCCCCCTTTTTCCCCTTCTCTTTCTCCCCCCCCTCTTTTCTTCCTTTCCCTTGCCTCCGGGCTGGTCTCTTCTTTCTTTGGCCTCCATCCGCTTGCCCCTTTATTTTTTTTTCCGGGTTTGCGTTCCTTCCTGTCCTTCTTCTCCTGGTTTTCTGTTTCCCATTTTTCCCCCGCTGTTATCCTTCTGTCTCCCTGCATCCCCCCGCCCCGTCTTCCTTATTTTTTTTTCCAGTCCCCCCCGGCTCCTTTTTCTTCGCTCCTCTCCCCCCTGGGTTCCCGTTTTAACCCCCCTCCTTTCCTCTCCTCTTCTTTTTCGCTATCCCCCCACGTGGTCGATCCCATTGCCGTTCCCGCGGGTCCCTTTTCCGCCCGCCGCCCTTCCCTCCCCCTTTTTCCCTCATTTCCCCCTTGCCTCCCTCTTTCTCCTTCGTTCCGCCGATCGCGTTCTCCGGGCACGTCATCTCCCTGTTAGTGTCTTTCTTTCCCCTTTCCCATTGTATTTCCTCTCAGGTTCAGTTGCTCGTTTGTTTCTCCGTTTTCCGCTCTTCTTCCTCTCCCCTCCTGAGTCCACTTTCTCGTTTTCCCCTTCGTTCTTCTTCTCCGGGTGGAGAGGGGATTCCGCGCTTATTCACCCCCCTTTTTTTTTTTCAGCCTTGTCCCCATGTCCATGAGTCTCCTCCCTCTTTTCTCCTGTTCTTTTGTTCCCTCTCACCTTCCGCCTTCCACCCTTTCTTGGGCTGCCTTTTTTTTGTTTTCAAGTTTTTTTTTTTTTTTTTGATATTTTTTTTTTTTTTTTCTTTTTTTTTTTCGTTTTTTTTTTTCATTTTTTCTGTCTTTTTTTTTTTTGTCTTTTTTTTTTGTTTTTTTTATTGCTTCGGAGGTATTAGAGAATGCGAAAGAAAATCAGGGCTATTTTTTTTTTTTTTTTTCTTGGTTTATTTTTTTGTTGTTTTTTTTTTTTTTTTTTTTTTGTTTTTTTTTTTCTTTTTTCTGTTTGTTTTTGTCCGGCAATCATGACTTGCTGCCTCTTTTTTTTCTCAACAGCAAGTTAGGAAACTGAATTTTTTTATAAGTTCTTCTCTTTGATTTTCTTTGTTTTTTCTCAGTACCTGATCATGTGTTTTTGTTTTTTTTTTTGTTTTTTTTGTTTTGTTTTTTTTTTGTTTTTTGGTTTTTTTTTTTTTGGGTTTTTTTTCCATTTTTTTTCGATTTCAAGGCCTGCGGCAGGGGATTAATGTGAGGCGGCTTTGTTTTTTTTCATTTTATTTTTATGGGTTTCTTTTTTTTGGTTTGTTTTTTTTTTTTTTTTTTTTTTTTTTTTTTTTTTTTTTTTTTTTTTTTTTGTTTTTGTTTTTTTTTTTTTTTTTTTTTCTCGGAGCAAAGATGGACGGGGGGTTGGGAGCATGTAAATTTTTTTTTTTTTTTGGGTGGGTTTTACCAGGTCATTGTGATAGGGCCGATGTAGAGTGAAACATTTTGCAGCTCCCTTTTGAATTTCGCGTAGGTCAGCGAAGAGCTGCACTCAAAAAAGTAACGGGAGAGTTTCAGCTAAGTAGGCCTTTTTGAATTTAATGGAAATGATAATTCACAACTTTCATCGGGGATGGCCGCAAATCGAGGAGTACGCTCTATCCATTTCGAGCAAATTCGCAAGTTTCGTCAGCCGCTAATAATCGTGAACGTCCTCAATACCATGG